AAATAATCTGTTAAAACCGAATAAGTTAACATTATGGTATACATAGGGCTTGCCCGTGCTAACGAAAACTTATGTTAAAATCGAAATCTGTTAAAATCGCGAGTGTCAAAACCGGGGGTAGACTGTACGTATATTAAAATTACACTTGACTTTATTTTGTTCCCACGTTTCTCTTATTGGCTCTCTCTCTCTCTCTCTCTCTCTCTCTCTCACACACACACTCTTTATTTTAAAAATAAAAACTGTAATAAAATAATTACTATAAAATTGTGAGCATAAGTAAAACACACCTAAAAATGTTTGTATAGTTTTAAGTCTAACATAGTTTATAAGAGTGTAAATGTATTGCAATACAAAAGGGCTATCAATGAGAGTGTATATCAAACGTGAGCTCAAAGAGTGTGTATAAAAGGACTATAAACAATGTACCATGGTATAAAACAGCGCTGAGAGTGTGTAAATTGGTTGACCACAAATATGATCATGATCAAACATGATAGCCCAAGTCCTTTTGTTATAGGTTCTATATTAATTTATATATTAATTTATATTATAATTATTTTGTTTTAAAAATAAAGCTCAAAACTAATGGCAATTTTGTAAAATAATAAAATAGATTTATTGTAATTATTAACCTGAAATTGGAAAACAATAAATATAAATTGCAAATGAATAACAATTACTTTATATGACCTGTTCAAATACAGTGTTTGAATTATAAATTAAATGAAACATAAATTTTAAAACATTCAAAATAAAAAATGAGTACTTGTGCTAAACAACTACTGCATCTTTAATTAACAAACACAGGGCGCGCCCACACAGGCGGCGCAATCACAGGCCCCGCAAACACCGCCCAAACAGTCACAGTCTCCGCACCCATCGCAGCCACATTTGCAACAGTCGGCAACACCGGTCACATCCGGACCGACATTACTACCGCCACCGCAGACATCGCACAACAGGCAACAACACGTGGGCTGATGATGACCACCGCTGGCCATTCCGCACGGCCACAGACAGCAATGACCGGCACTTTCGCAGCACACGTTACAGCACTCGCAGCAACAGCAACAACAGTCACCGCCGGCACCGCCCCCGGTATCCACCACATACACCCCATGGTGGTTTAACCTTGGTTGATTAGTCACCGCCGGGACTACCGTGTTGAATGCGTATCCCGGCGCTGGCTGTTGACTAACCACGTGGTTTAGTTTGTTTTGACACTCGGTTAGGTCTGAAGGGGACAGTAGGTTTCTCTCAGCGCATGTATTGTCTAATTGTTTTTGTTGTAAATTATTTTCCATGATTTTAGCCGACAATCCATTTAATCCTAAATTGATGGGCGGGTTATAACCGGCAGATATGGACTCTAGTTTAATATCAGGGTCGTTTTGCTTTTGTCCAGGTAGAATGTCGATGCTTAATCTATTATTAATATCTAGATTAGCTTTATCATCACAATGGTTGGGCATATCGTCAGTGCAGAGGTATTTGTGATCACAAAATAAATTGCATTTTTAAAACTATATTGTTTTCTAGGTCGAAATAATAATTTGACATGTAGTTTTTTCTTATTAATTTATTATCATTATATCCAAAATATGTTTATATGTGATGCACCTTTATAACATATGTATACATAGAATATTGTAGAATATTCTGTAATTATTATAATACTACTTGTAATTATTTATATTTGAGTTAAGTTTTTAAATACACAATTTGAGCAAAAATTAATTTAAATGATGATAAATATTAAATGTTATAATACACTGCAACTAGAATTGATAACCATAATGTTTAATATGTCGTTTGTATAATAATAGCATGCTTAATTATGTTGCAATGTAGACGTTTTCCGTACTAAATTTTTAACGACAAATATAATACTAGAAAGTATAATATTTATAACAATTATTGTTAGTATTATGTATAAACAGTAGTATACTGTAGTGTGAAACATGTTTAAAATTCCAGTATGATTAATTTTAATGTATCCCGGTTTAATAAATGCAATGTTTGTCCATGCTAAATTGTTAAATAAAATTTCAACAATCACATTTAACTGCTGTATTTCATAGAGGTGTATGAAATCTGTTTTGAAATATATTAATAACATTTAATTTGTAAAAAATCAATCATGTTATACAAAATACATGCAAGAATTTGTTTTGTTGTGGCAACCAGTGTTAAAAATATATACTGTAAATTACTACATTAACCATGTTACAACTACGTACAAATATCGATAAATAATTGTCACTATAATTAATAGGTATTGACTAAATAAGTGGTAACGATTTGCCCTAAGTATTTATGTGATTTATTTTAATTGAATTACATCGATATGTATATCAAATTAAACCTCATATATTGAAGAATATAAATAGTGAAAATAATTTTCAAAATATCTGGAAATTTGAACGAAATATCGAAATTAAAAGAAAGTTATATTATTTGTGAAGTTTTAAGCCATAGACCTAATGCTAATTTAGTTATCGTTAATTTAATTTTGTGATTAACAAAACATAAAATAAATAGTGATTTAATATCGGAATTTGTTGTTATATATTAAGTTGATATACAAATAAATGTACAAGGTTGTAAATAAAACGATTTTTAAATAGTGTATTTTGTTTTAAATTACATAAGCATATTAATATTTAATTGTAAGCATGGATACAAGGTATTACGGACGCCACGTCAATTGTTTCAACGCGTTATAACTTGCAATTTTAAATTGCCAATTTACACTGTTTAAGTTATATTGACTTGGTTTAGATTAGGTTAAATTGGTTTTGGGTTAGGTATGCAGGTAGAGGACGTATAAGGCAAAATAGGTTTAAAGGTACAGGGTCATCTAATCGCACAAACAAATAATGGTAGGCAACGGGTGACGTAAACTAGTTTTAAAATATTAAAAATAAAAAATAAGTACTTGTGCTAAACAACTACTGCATCGTTGATTAATAAACACAGAGCGCGCCCACACAGGCGGCGCAATCACAGGCCTCGCAAACACAACAACACGCAAACACAAATGCCTCGCAAACAATCACAGACAACACCATAAAAGTCACAGTTTCCGCACCCATCACAGCAACCATTGCACCGCAGGCAACAACACATGGGCTGATGATGACCACCACTGGCCACTCCGCACGGTTACAGACTGCACTGGCCGGCACTTTCGCAGCACACGTTACAGCACTCGCAGCAACAGCAACAACAGTCACCGCCGGCACCGCCCCCGGTGTCCACCACATACACCCCGTGGTGGTTTGACCTTGGTTGATTGGTCACCACCGGGACTACCGTGTTGACTGCGTAGCCCGGTGCTGGCTGTTGACTAACCACGTGGTTTAGTTTGTTGTGAAACCCGGTTAGGTCTGAAGGGGACAGTAAGTCCCTCTCAGCGCAGGTATTGTCTGATTGTTTTTGTTGTAAATTATTTTCCATCATTTTAGCCGACAATCCATTAAATCCTAAATCGATGGGCGAGTTATAACCGGGAGATATGGACTCTAGTTTAATATCAGGGTCGTTTTGCTTTTGTCCAGGTAGAATATCGATGCTTAATCTATTATCATCTAGATTAGCTTTATCATCACAATGGTTAGGCATATCGCCAGTGCAGAGATAGTTGTGATCACAAAATGGATTGAATTTTTTTTTCTAAATATATTGTATTCCAAATAATGTTATATAAAATAAAGGTTGAAATAATAATTTTACGTGTAGTTTTTTCTTATTAATTTATCATTATTACATTTCAAATATTCACACCAATAATAACAATAAAATTTAATTAGCTTGTAAGTTTATTTGTGATGCACTTTTATAGCATACGTAAAGAATATTCTGTAATTATTAAAATACTATATTTAAGTTAAGATTTCAAATACACAATTTGATCAGCTAGAATTGACAACCATAATGTTTAATATGCCGTTTGTATAATAATAGCATGCTTAATTATGTTGCAATGTAGACGGGTTTCGTACTAAATATTAGACGACAAATATAATACTCGAAAGTATAATAATTATAACAATTATTATTAGTATTATGTATAAACAGTAGTATACTGTAGTGTGAAACATGTTTGAAATACCAGTATAATTAATTTTAATGTATCCCGGTTTAATAAATTCAATGTTTGTCCAGGCTAAATTGTTAAATAAAATTGCAACAATATCATTTTAGCTGATTATTTCATAGAGGTGCATGCAATCTGTTTTAAAATATATTAATAACATTTGATTTATTATAAATCAATCATGTTGTACAAGATACATGCAATAATTTGTTTTGTTGTGGCAACCAGTTTTAAAAATAAATACTGTACTACATTAACCATGTATGTATATGCAACTAAAGTACCAATACTTTACATACAGTACAAGTACCGATAAATGATTGTCAGTATAATTACAAGATTGTAAATAAACCGATTTTTAAATATTGTATTTTGTTTTAAATAAGAATATTAATATTTAATTGTATTCACACTAAATATAATAATATAATTTAAGCGCTATGATTCAATTGAATTATTAATTTATGCTTTTATATAACTAAAAGCATTTATGTAATACAGTATTATATTTTTAATAAAAATTATAATGTTTAAGTATTAGTAATACTTGAACAAAATGATGTTAATTTCTGGGATTAAACTTTATTACTTTTATTACTAACTTGTAAGATGATTTTTGCATATTTGACTTGATTTACGGTAATTACGATATTAGTAAACATTCCTATAAACCACATTCTTCATATACGAATCGTGGTTAAAAATACAAGGAATTTTGTGTATAATATATGGCAAAATTGTTATCCATGTATTGATACGTATGTGTCGTTACGGATAACACCAATAATCCAATCGATTTGAGCGGACACTCGCATCCAAATTGTGATGGAGTCGGCGTCTTGTGAGGCGCAGTACCGGACACTTGTATTGTTATGTTTGACAGATCTGATTGATCTCGAGGCCACACCGATCAGTACGGCCCGACCCGACACGTACTGCACTAATGGTCCCCCGGAATCGCCCTATAATTATGTACACAAACATAACAAGAAGTGTAATTATCCGGGAAATTGTCAGTTTGTATTGGGAATTGTGTTCGGGCTATATATGAGTATAAACAGCCAGACAATAGATTTTATGCAAACAGGCGCTCACCTGACAGACGACTGTGCCATTAATGGGGGACACATGTTGGGCGTATAGGTATATTTGGTCCGTTGTCCAATTAAGCGTACCTGGTGCCATTATCTTTACCCAACCCATGTGGCGATTAACAGGAAATTTACCCACATTGTCCACACTTCCCCACCCGCTGATCAGCGCGTACTCATCCGCAGTGTTTGTTACACCGCTGGCCGGCAGGCATGCGGTGCCCACCGATAACCTATCGTCAAAAGTTATATCGGGCTGAACGCGGATCAGCACCATATCGATCGACCCATTGGATAGGCGCCCGGCTTTATATGTTGGGTGAGTAACAAATGGACGGTTGAGTGCGTTCGTGTAAATGGTAGTTTGGATCGATGGGGCGTCGAGAGCACCGACTACAATATCAATGTCAATCGGGCACCTGTCCTTAGACGCATTACATCTAGGTCGTTTGTTTGTAAAAACAGTTTTCAATAAGTAATTATGATATCAAGTAAATAGTATAAAATTTATAGTAAATAATAGTACCGTAATAACTTATTACTAATAAGTATTTACTTCACGCAATGAGCTGCTGTAAGTATCCATGATTTATTGATAATTGTTCCTGTACAGAATGATCTAACTCTCGAGCTCCTGTATATATTTTGTAATTTACAATTCAATTAAAATTCTATTACGATTTAGTGATCAATTTATTAAATAAAAACTTTATAATATAAAAATACTTATCTTATAATTATAAAGTGAAATATTATGTATTATTTACCCGTCAATGGATGTTCTCCATCTGATTAACATTCACTTCATTTAATATATCCCCAAAAAATATATCCCTCTAGTATTCGCTGTACAATTGATGTAAAGGTACAATGTATGGTAGAAGGCATATATTTTTGGTACGGGATATATTTTTTAGGGATATATTAAATGAAGTTAATGTAAATAGGCGACAAAAGGCATTTCCCCTTTTGTGGCGCCCCTACCGTTTGATATACGACTTATTGCAGAAGTTTTGTGATAAGTAAAGCACTTGTCGTCCATAAGTATTGATTCCCGACCCACTCCGCAGTCACGGTCCGTGACGTTAGGGTAGTGTTGGATAATAAGGTGAATTGTATTACTTACTTCTATTACAGAAACTTCAATTGTTTTTGAATATATTTCAAATTATTGTGTTTTTCATTAAAAATTTATTCAATACTTACCAATAGTTAACAAACTTAACATGAATTTAATTTTGGGCAACATTGCTAAAAATAAACGATAAATTTGTTTTGCAAACATTAATAGAAATAAAATATTTTCAATTTCGTGCGAAACTATTTGTATTTAATTTAATATCAAATTTTATGGTTTAGATTTTCTATAGTTTAATATTACATTTATAAGATAATTATAATTAATGGACTCCGCAAAAGTAAACTTGAATATCTCGTAAAGTATTGGATATAGATATTCAAATGATATAGCAAATTAATTTTCAACTCCAAGATTCTATGTTATGATATTAAATCTTACTACATGTTACTTAATCATTAATCTCGATTAATACACGGAAATTCTCTTTCTAGATATAGTATAATTTATTTTAATTAATATTTTAGTTTATAGATTAACAATACCCATAGATTAGCGCTAGCTTCTGTTAGTAAGCACTAACATGTAGTAATCCATAAAAATACAATGAATTTTGTGTTATGCAGTGTAGAATATATGGCAAAATTGTTATCCGTTTTATCCATGTATTGGTTTGTATGTGTTGTTACGGATAACACCAATAATCCAATCGATTTGAGCGGACACTCGCCCCCAAACCGTTATAGAGTTGTTGTATTGTGAGGCGCAGTTCCAGGCGGTTGTATCGTTACGTTTGCTAAATGTGTATGATTTCGACGCCACACCGATCAGTACGGCCCGACCCGACACGTACTGCACTAATGGTCCCCCGGAATCGCCCTATAATTATGTACACAAACATAACAAAAAGTGTAATTATCCATTAAATTGCCAGTTTGTATTGGGAATTGAGTTTGGGCTATATATGAGTATAAACACCCAGACAATATGTTTTATGCAAACAGGTACTCACCGCACAGATGGCTGTGCCATTAATGGGGGGCACAGTTCCGGCAAATATGTATGGCTCGTCAATTGTCCAATTAAACGTACTGGGCGCTATTATCTTTACCCAACCCATGTGGCGGTTATCATCTGTATTACCCACATTGTCCACGACTCCCCACCCCGTGATCAGCGCGTACTCATCCACAGTGTTTGTTACACCGCTGGCCGGCAGGCATGCGGTGCCCACCGATAGCCTATCGTCAAAAGTTATATCGGGCTCCACGCGGATCAGCGCCATATCGATCGAGCCATTGGAGCCACCGTTATATTCCGGGTGAGTATAAAATGGATGGTTGGGTGCGTTCGAGTAAATCGTAGTCTGATTCCAATAGTAGAACGGGGCGTCGAGATGACCGACTACAATATCAATATCTACCGGGCAATCCTCCATAGACGAATTACATCTAGGTCGTTTATTTGTAAAACAGTATTTAATGATTAATCATAATGTAAAGTATACAGTAAATTATAGTGATATTTGGTATAAATTATTCACATCACGCAATGGGCTGCTGTAAGTATCCATGATTTATTAATAATTGTTCCAGTACATGAGGATGCAACTTGCGAGCTCCTGTATATATGTTGTAATTTACAATTTATTAAATAAAAACTTTATAATATAAAAATACTTGTCTTATAAAGGGAAATATTATGTATTATTTACTCGTTAATGGGGTTTCTCCATATTAATAAATAGGCAACAAAAGGCATTTCCCCTTCGGTGGCAACCCTACCGTTTGATATACGGCTTATGGCAGATGTTTTGTGATAAGTAAAGCACTTGTCGTCCATAAGTATCGACTCCCGACCCACTCCGCAGTCACTGTCCGTGACGTTAGGGTAGTGTTGGATAATAAGGTGAATGCTGTTACTTACTTCTATTACTAGGACTTCAATTGGTTTTAAATATATTTCAAATTATAGTGTTATTTCATTGATAATTTGTTCAATACTTACCGATAGTTAGCATACTTAACATGAATTTAATTTTGGAAAACATTGTTAAAAATAAACGATAAATTTGTTTTTCAGACACTAATAGAAATAAAATATTTTCAAATTTGTGTAAAACTATCTGTATTTAATTTAATATCATATTTTATTGTTTGGATTTTCTATAGTTTAATATTACACTTGCATTTAATTATGTGCCTATTTGTAATGTTAAAACTACTACTATCAAGAGCAATTGTCTAAAACCAGTATAGAAGGCAGTAATAGTACGAATATTCATAAATTTAATTAATTCCAAAACTAAATTAATAAAAAATTAATAACTTTATACAGTATGACTTCAGGTAGCAAACCATGGCGCTATGTAAAAATAATAACATTTTATAATTTGCTTAACAACTTAATTATTTTTGATTATAAAATAAATGTCTAGATAATTTTTTATCCAACACAAAACTACAGTAATAACGATTAATAGGGGATATGATATCTATGGCCCAAAATGAGTGCCGTTATCGATGACACCAATAATCCAATCAATATATGCCGACACTCGGGTCCATATCATCAACACATTTGGGTCATATGTGGAGCAATAGTGAGCGGTGTCGCCAACTAGAGTACTGCCACGGGTCACACCTATAAGCACTGCCCTACCGGACACATATTGAACCAACGGTCCGCCGGAATCACCCTATAATCGCACACATAACCCATGATCATTTCAAGGGTCAATATACACACAATACTTACTGAACATATGCCAGTGCCAATGGCTACTGGAGTAACCTTGGCGTATATATATTCACCACGAGTGGTATCAATGGTATTGGGCACCATGGCTGGCGCCATTACGCTAACCCAACCCATTTGGCGTACGCGGCTGAACGCGCCCGCGTCATTCACCCGACCCCACCCGGTGACCACCGCGTACTCCTGGCCAGTATTGACTACACCCCTGGCCGGCAGGCATACGGTGCCAAAGATAAGGGGGTCGTCAAACGTGATGTCCCGGTCAAGTGGTACGAGCGCCAGGTCAGGAGTGTAGGCATCGGGCACGTACTCAGGGTGAATTTGAATCAATTGTTGCTTTGGATAATAAACGTGTTTTGCTTTGTTGGCAAACGCGTCCTTTGGTTTGAGGATACCAATCAATATTGTAATATCTGGTGGGCATATATACATAGACGCGTTGCACCTAGGTCACAATGTGGATGTAAATTATATGTAAATTAAATTGTATTTGGTTAATTATCAATAATAATACTGTAAATAATTTGACATAGCGTATTTTTAATATAATAATAGACACTAACTTAAGGCAATGGGCTGCCGTAATTATCCATGATTTATTAATAATTGATCCTGCGCATCGCTCATGAGATTCGTAGACATTACTAATAACAACATACAATATATTTATTAGTTAAATAACATAAGATTGTTTACAGAATTGCTATTAATTTTACTAAATAATAGATAAGTTAACTTAATTTATAAACTGAATATACGGTACTTTACTTGAGCTCTGTTTTAACAATCTTTATAAATACAGTGAAAGGCATTTCCCCTCTTCTCGCAAATCTGCCGTTCGCTATGGGACTCGAGCCAAAGGTTTTGTGCCAACGAAAACACTTGTCGTTCATAAGCATCGTCTCCCGACCCACTCCGCAGTCATTGTCCGTGACGTTAGGGTAGTGTTGGATAAGTGCGTGAATGCCATCACTCATGACTATTGCCTTCACTTTAGTTTCAAATATTGAATCCAATTATTGTAGTCATTATTAAAATAATTTACTCAATACTTACCGATAATACCCAAACCTAAAATGAACTTAATTTTAACCATCATTATTAAAATTAAAATAATCAATTCATTTGCAGATTTATAGAAACAGAATATTTTTTAAAATTCGTAAAACGATATCCGTTATTGATATAAGATATTATAATTAATTTTTAAATCTTTAACTGTTAATAAAATTTTTATTTATTATGATATGATATTATGGTTTAGAATTCCATAGATTTTACATTGCAAATTATATGTATTTGCCCATTGGCAATGTTAAAATTTCGAAACTATCTTATAGGATTTATTAATAATTATAAATCTTAAATAAATCTAATTGAATTTTAAAATTCAAAATTAAAATCGTTTTAAAAATAATAAAGTTATGTGTACAGTATATTGAAAATCTGTATTCATTAAATTAATTTCGTTTAGCATTATATTTCACATACTGTAGTTTAATATTTCAATCACTATATGTTAAAAACTAACAGCCACCAACAATGCTTTAAAGCAAATTGTTATATACATATAAGTATATTATATGATAATACAGTAATCAAAACATACATAAAAGTATATAAGTATATCAGAGTAATTAGATTACCATATCTAACGTCCAGAATGTGTGGCATTATTGATAACACCAATAATCCAATCGATATGAGCGGACACTCGCACCCAAAACATGTATGAATCCGGGCTATGAGTCGCACAATAGCCTCGAATTGACTCGTTATACTTGGTATAACCCTTTGCCACACCAATCAATACCGCCCGACCCGATACATACTGGACTAACGGACCCCCGGAATCGCCCTATAATTACACACACACACACACAACAAATCATGAGTATAAACGTATAGTAAAAAAACACCCCATACTTACAGCGCATGTGGCGGTGCCGTACGTCGGGGGCACCACTTTGCCAAACACAAAGCCCGGTTCAGTGGTCTCGCTAACACTGGCAGGCGTTACAATCTTAACCCACCCGATGTGGCGCTCCCAAGTGGTGTTTCCCGTATTGTCCAGTAGTCCCCAACCGGTGATCAGTCCGTACTCGTCGCCAGTGTTGACCACATCTCTCGCCGGTAGGCATACGCTGGTCGCCGACAACCGGTCGCTCAAATCCATATCCGGGTGCACTCGCATGAGGGCCAAGTCGGGTGTATAATTGCCCTTGATGTAGTTTGGGTGTATGTATAGCTCGTTTGAAAAATATCTGTGTTTTGGCGTATTGTAAAAAGCATCCAAATAGTCTACCACGCCAATATATATTGTATATTTTGGAGGACATGTATGAATGGTTGCACTGCATCTAGGTCACGCGATTGTCAAATATATACAATAAACAGTGATATTAATATTGTATAAAAACAAAAATTATACATTAATAAAGCGACTGACCGTAAACAATGGGCAGCTGTCATTATCCATGATTTATTAATAATTGACCCTGTACATGTACTAGCATAAGATGTTCTAAAAATAATGTAAATTATATTAATACACAACAAAACATAATTGGTTATGTTGTTGGCTATTAAAATAATGTTGACTGTATACGATATTAAAAATTACTCCTACTGTAGAATTAGTAGATATATTTTAGTATAAATTTACTTATTAATAAAATTCATGTCAATCATGATATAGACGGCAAAACGCATCTCTCCATCGGTGGCGACCCTACCATTTGCTATACGACTTATGGTAGAAATTTTGTGATAAGTGAAGCACTTGTCGTCCATAAGAATAGACTCCCGATCCACTCCGCAGTCACTGTCCGTGACGTTAGGGTAGTGTTGGATAAGAGCATGAATACCCTCACTTGTGACTATTACCTTCACTTTAGTTTCAAATAATAAATCCAATTATTATGGTGTTTATTAAAATAATTCACTCAATACTTACCGATAATTAACAAAATTAACATGATAATTTTAACAATAATTATTTGCAAATGTATAGAAATAAAATATTTTTTAAAAATGTGTAAAACGATAGCCTTTATTCAATTTGATATAAGATATTATAATTTATTTTTAAATAATAAATCTTTAACTGTTATTAAAATGTTTATTTATTAAGATATTATTATATGGTTTAGAATCCTATAGTTTTTACATTACAAATTAATGGTATTTGCCCATTGGTAATTTTAAAAATGCCAAAACTACCTTATACATCTTAAATAAATCATATTGAATTTTAAATTGCAAAATTATAATCATTTTTAAAATAATTAAGTTGTGTATATTTTGAAGATCTGTATTTAAATTAATTTTGTTAAGAATTATATTTCTCATAATTTAATATTACAATCACAATATTAAAAAAACGAGCATACAACAATTAATGCATGGTATTAGATATTATATAAGACAATAAGCAGAACATGTATAAAAGTAATTAGAATACTATATCTAACGCCCAGAATGTGTGGCATTATTGATAACACCAATAATCCAATCGATATGAGCGGACACTCGCACCCAAATCATGTATGAATCCGGGCTATGAGTCGCGCAAATACCTCTGATTGACTCGTTATACTTGGTATAACCCTTTGTCACACCAATTAATACCGCCCGACCCGATACATACTGGACTAACGGTCCCCCGGAATCCCCCTATAG